CATGAAACCCCAGATGCAATGGGAGCGGTTAGCAAAGCCCAAGCCTGGTTGTACAGGGAGGGGTACTAGACGGCGCTAAATACCCTCAAACGAAAGCACAAGCAAACTATCCAATGTGTTTTTGCGACAATGACCAATGTAGCCAATCACAGATATATCTGTTGATTTCTTCAACGCAATGGCCAATCATATACGTTCAGAGTTTTCAGAATTCACTCACCGCTCAAAGCACCAGAGTTTTTTACGCTCGTGAATCATCTCATAAGTGCAGACGTGATATAAATAAGAGATTCATTGTGTAGTTTAGAGAGTTTCATTGATTACAACAGAACTTTGTGAGATTGCAATGAACTAAGATGAGTGATGCGATAATAATGGGAGTGCGCTTTGCGTGCTTTCTAGGCTATGTAATCCATTAAGAGTTTGTATGAAACTTTCGTTTTTCGGACACATACATGCTGCAAAGTTTCGGGAATGACATCCGCATATTTATACTGGATTCATTCTCGAAATAACAGTGATTTGTCAGTGATAACCAAAGCAATAGACGGGACAAAAATGCCTCAGTGATTTATTCTGGAAGCGGTCCAGGCCAAATTTCCACAGACGGGGTGCGTACTGAGTATCGGTATCGGGCCCGATACTGAGCTCCTGTACTCGTACTTGTACTTGTTAAAATGCTCCGATACCAAACGCCGATACCGCACAGCATGTGATAAGTGCCATATTCAGACAAAGAAATACCAACAACAGACCGTAGATATCTTTAATCTCTAATAACCTCATTCTGCTAAGTATATGTATGCAATGAATATAAAACATTCAGTATTAATGACTGTATAGCTGATTTGCGCCAGCTGATGAGCAAAGCACGCTGAGTGGATTTAGCGCACGGCGGCGCAGATGCGCAAGCTTGTCAAGTGAATATCCCTTTCTCACAGACATCACTGGAAAGTTTGTAGTTCGGTCGGATATGTCAAAAAGATGTAAGTAAAACAATGCACAAGTTATTTAATGGTAGGGAGGGAGGGAGAGAGAGAGAGAGAGAGCGCACACTTCTATTGTGTGATCTTTATTGATGTTCGCTCACTTAGCACACGCATAATTTGGATTAAAACTAAATCGTAAATATAAGACAA